AAATTTAATAAAATCAATAACTATTTATAATATTAATTTTTTTAAACATATAAATTATTAAAAATAATTACTTTTCTGGAAGATATTTATGCAAAAGTGGAATTGAATACAAAATTATCCAATTACACCACTCCTCGGCTTTAAAAGATAAGTAATATTTTTGAATATTAATAAGAGGTCTACCAAAATCTGTTGGCATTGCTTTTTTATTATATTCAATTATTTTTTCAATTTCATTCCAATTATCTTTTGAAATTTTATATTCTGTATTATTTAAAATTTCATTTTTAAAAAATTTGCCTATAAAGTGACGAAACATATGAGGAGCAACATTTTCAAAAAGTGCATGCATAATATCTACTGGAAATGATAAAGGAAAATTAATTGAAGATAATTCAAATAAAATACTGTATCCATTTACACCTATTAATATAATAAATAAATAAATTAAAATAAGTTAAAATTTAATTAATATAATAATAAAAATTACCTTTTTTGCATTCATTACTATCTAGAATATAACTATTATGAGAACGCATTGGTAAATTTTCTGGATTATAATTATTATATTCTTGTAATGATTGAAGTGGATAATACATATGTCTAGCAGTTTCAGAATAAGATCCTTTTATATAACAATATCGGCATCCATATTTAGCATTATGACCTGAAAGACACATAACTTTAGATAAAGCAGGAATATCTCCAGACCATGAAAGAATATAGCTATGCAATTTAAATGTCTCTTTTAATATTGCATCATAACAAGTTACACCACCTACAAAATTTTAATTTAATTAATATATTTAATACTATTAATCATATAATTTAAAATTTTAAAAAAATTACATTCAAGTTGCTTTAATTCATCAACTAATGGTCATAAAAAACTATTAAAATCTTTTGGAGATTTTGGTCCAGGTATAACCATATCAATTATTAAATTTTCTTTTTTTACTCTTTTTGATGATAGAAGATTTGCATTTAAAAGCAAATTTACCCAACAGTTATTACATTTTTGTTTAAAAACTTGATAGCTATCCATAGATACAATTAAAGTGACATCTCTATAATCTAAAAATAAGCCTGATGCTACTAAAGTTTTATATCTATTACCATCAAAAACATCACCAATTTTGCTATTCTTAGAAGTATATTCTTTTTTTGATGTATATTCATACTGATATCTAAGATCTTTTGCTTATAATAGATTTTTATATTGCAATTTTAAGCTATCAATAATTGAAAAATATGCTAATTGTTTTCAAGATTTTTTAGATTTTTTTTTTTGTTGTATATCATGACTCTTTATATATAGGACATGTATTAAGATTAGCATTTTGTCTGGTAAATGCACAGCAAAAATTCTAACAAATGTCTATAAATTTTGGTTCTAGCGAAACCAAATTTCCTAAAATTTTTTGAAGCCGATAAAAAGAAATATTAGAAATATTAAAAATTTCTAATATTTCATTAAATGCTTGATTAGAAATTGTATGTTTATCTTTGATATAAAGAAGCTGAAGCCCTTTAATTATTTCACTTGGTAAATCTAAAATGTAAAAATATTAATATTAAAATTTTTAAAAAAACTTTTAAATAAAATATTAAAAAATAATTACCATTAAATTCAGCATTATCAAAACTTTCTTCTGATTCAGAACTTATTTTTTCACTACTTTCTAATTCACCCTCTTCTAATTCATCCTCCTCTAGTTCATCCTCCTCTAATTCATTCTTCTCTGAATCATTCTCCTCCAATTCATTTCCCTCTGATTCACACTCCTCTTCCAATTCATCCTCCTCTAATTTATTCTCCTTATTCAATTCATCCTTCTCTGATTCATTCTCCTTATCCAATTCATTCTCCTCCAATTCCTCATTTTCTAAATCTAAAAGATTAATTTAATTAAAAAAAAAATCAATTCAAGATAATCAAAAAATTTTTTTATTTTACTTTGTTCAATATTTTCCTCAATATCCTCCATACTAACAATATTTATTTGATTATTTAAAATATTGTTAGATGTATTATTTGAAATTAGAAAAGAATTTTGAAGATTTTTTTCTTGCTTCCTATGCCTTGTTCGAGTAGAAATGCTTAATAATTTGCCACAACCATTAGTTTCTTGCATGCAAAATACACAAGTGCATAAAACTTTATTATCTATTGCTAATTATTATAAAATTTATAAATTAAAGATAAGTATTTGAAATATTAAATTTTTTTAAGTTAAATAATTTTACTAATTTATTAAAAAACTAACCTTTTTTAATACTTTTTTTCAAAAAACAACCTGGTATTTTGCCAAACTAATAGAAAAGCACAAAAACAATTTGCGAAAAATTAAAAGAATCAATATAATTATATAAGAATAATCTGTAAATAAAAACCCGTTATTAGACTTTCAATTATATTTTGTGTATAGCCATCTATAGAAAATCTATCAATAGATTTTATATAGACAGTTATTGAAAGTCTAATAAAAAATTTTATTATAATTGCTATTTAAATTATATAATTACCTATTTAATATAACCAATATTTCACTTATACAAAATAATATATTACAATAAAAGTAATCTAGCAAAACAATACAAAAATTAATACAAAATTTTAATATCCTTTAATATTTTTAATAAAAGCAGTCCATTCATCTTTTCTCATATTCTCTAACTATGTAATACTAACATTATCAATTATATCCAAAAGTATCCAATTATTATTAAGTGCTTCAAGTAATTGATGCAAGTGAGGTCCTGCAGTAATAAAAGTTGTAAGTTTTTTTGATGAAATATTTTCTACAAAGCCAGGGATATTTATGTTTAGATCTGAATAGCTTTCTAAGTCCAGATTTTTTTTTCTTTTTCTTACTTTGAAAGAATTACCATCAATAACATGTTTAATATTAAAAGAATTGTCTGATTTATTAATATTAAACATGTCATATAGTGATTCTTTCCCAGTAAGTAAAACTCTTACTTAAGTTGCACACTTAGTTTCTTTTTCACGGGTTGTATATTTATTTATCTATTCTGTTAAGTAATTATATGCTATTTCAAATTTATATAAGAATTGAAATGACATTCTGCAAGAAACTTCAATATTATAAGTTGTAATATTATAATCAAAAATAGACTGATAGCATGTACGTATTAATATTAAAAAAATTTCTACTTTTTTTTTAATGAATTATTCTTTGATAGGTTATTGACTTTAAGATCCTGGAATAATTACAGCATATGCCTTAAAAGCATAATTTGATCTTATAAATTTAAATTATCATCTGAATTTGATAATACAAGATTTTCATATTCCAAAACTAATCCACCATTAATCTGAGCAGGATCAAATTGGACTATTGAAGTTTTACAAAGTATAGAAAGTTCCTTTAGATAATTAAGAAGACTTTTATAATAATTATCTTTTTTAATAAATGAATTTTTATCATAAAAAGGTGTTATTATGGTTAATTCACTTTCAAATGCTAATAACTTATAAAATTGCTTAGAAACCTTAAATTTATTTCCAGTTAATATTTCCTTTTTTTTAGTAGGTTGAAAACTAGCAAAATAGTTAAGATATAAGTAATGATCTTGGCTAACTTGCTTTTTACTAATCCTTTCAAATTTAGGAAATTTAATATTTATAATTGACTTCCTAATTTCGATAAGGTTTATTGGCTCCAATACAATTTCACCTCAATTGTTCTTAAGTGTTGCAATTTTTTTGTTAGATTAATTTCAATTTTGTCAAAATTAATATCTTGTGTAATAGATGCTAAAATAATTCATTGATTTATAATATCTGGGGATACTTCTTAAAGGAAAGTAGGTATAAAGGATTGATTAACCCTTTTAGAAGTTTTTATCACAATTTCTAAAATTAAAATTAAAGTAAGTATTTTTTTTTTTTTTTAAGCTAATAAAACTAATTAAAATTATAGATTTACATTGTCACTTAATATTTTGTTTATTATCATTATCCTTATCTTCATTTTTATTTTCATTACTTCCTTCATTACTCTCTTTATCACTTTTATCGTCTTCTTCATTATCACCTTTTTCATCACCTTTATTATGACCTTCACTTTCAACATCAACTTCCTTATGACCTTTGACTTCAACATCACTACCATTATCCACTTGCGCTACTTTACTGTTTTTATTAACTTTATCTATTTGCATTATTTCTTCACTTTCCTCATGATCTTTAACTTCTTACATTATTTCTTTGTTTTCCTCATGATCTTCATCTTTAACATTACTACTGTTATCCACTTGCATTACTTTACTGTTTTTATTAACATCATCTATTTGCACTATTTTTTTAACTTAACAAAGTTGAAGTTATTCAATAAAGATTATATATCAATAATTAATAATTGAATACAGCATACTTACAAGAAAAAGAGTAAAGTTCTTCATATTTCACATTTAAGATATCATTGTTTTCATTTGGAGCATTATTGATATTATTAATATTAATAATCGAATCTAATTGGAATGTTAAATTTTTATGAAAATTACTAGTATCTCCAATTTCTTAAAAAAAACAACATGTTTTGGTATTGTTTATATATGTTATTTCAACTTCTTTATTAAAAAATCGAATTTGACAAATATATTGTTCAGCATTGTAAGAATATAGTAAATATATAGCTTGTATTAAGTCATCCATACTTTCTATTTATTTAAAATATTTGCATATAATTGTCAAATAATAAGTATTAAAATCAGATTATTAGTAATTTTATTTAATTAATAATAAAAAGAAAGAATCATTAGTATAAATATATACCTTTAAGAGTTAAGAAAAGCAGTAAGAAAAAATTTCTATTTAAATAAAAATAATAATTTGAAATTTAACTATAGACTATGCGATACAGTAATTACATAACTAGACTTGGCAGTCTATAAGTCTGTACCTTGCTATAGCTAAAGAACTATTTTTACCAAATTAATAAATATATTAAATTATAGTAATATATATATAAAAATTAATATTAATAAATTATATTTAATAATAAAAAAAAAAACTAATAATAATAAAAGTAATAAATAAATAAAATTATACCTTGAAGTTGCACACAGATGAGAGTAAGAAAAAATGTTTCTATTTAAATAATAATAATAATTTGAAATTTAACTATAGACTATGTGATACTCTAATTACGCAACTAGACTTGGCGGTCTATGAGTCCATACCTTGCTAAAGCCAAAGAACTATTATTATTTAATAAATATATTAAATTATAGTAATATATATATAAAAATTGATATTAATAAATTATATTTAATAATAAAAAAAAAACTAATAATAATAAAAGTAATAAATAAATAAAATTATACCTTGAAGTTGCATACAGGTGAGAGTAAGAAAAAAAAGTTTCTATTTAAATAATAATAATAATTTGAAATTTAACTATAGACTATGTGATACTCTAATTACACAACTAGACTTGGCGGTCTACAAGTCTGTACCTTGCTAAAGCTAAAGAACTATTATTATTTAATAAATATATTAAATTAAAGTAACATATATATATAAATTGATATAATAAATTATATTTAATAATAAAAAAAAAAACTAATAATAATAAAAGTAATAAATAAATAAAATTATATCTTGGAAGTTACACACAAGTCAGAAAAGAATAAGAGAAAAGTGAATAAGATAAATTCTATTTAAATATATAACAATTATTTGAATTTAGCTATAAATACGCAATACTCTAATTACATAACTATACTTAGCAATCTATGAGTTCGCATCTTGCTAAATCTGAAGAACTATTATTACCTAATTATTAAATCAAGTAGTAAGATTGCAAACTCTTACTAATATCTTCATGCTACTATTATGAAAGTCTGTATGAATAACTAATATATTTATGCTATCATTATGAAAGTTTGTATGAATATATCCTGCCTTATGAATTTATCTAAATCTTTGAAATACCTTCAAATAATCTTAATTTAAAGATCAAATTTTATTTATAAAAACTTCTATTTTTTTGAAATAGCATCTAGTATTTATTTATTTTGACCCTTATATCATATAATCTACACTTTGCATAATTGTTAAACTTTGTAAATTTATAGAAATGAATTAATTCAATATGTTTAATAACTATACAATAATTTAATTATCTCATTCAAAAAATTCTGAGAATTTTTCTTGGAATCTGCCAAAAGTTTTAAATGCAATAGTGCTAGAAAGCTTTCTTAATTTTATATATCTTATTTGGGCAAGTTTTAATCTTTCGTACACAATAATACTGTTATGCCATTTGGATGCTAGATTAAATTAAAGTCTCAAAAGAGTTCTAATGTGCCCCACCTTGCATATAAGAGTCATAACCATCCACTCTATCGGTTACATCCTTTAAAGATATTATTCTCTTTGATTTTGATTACAATCTATTTTTAATATTTTTATGTTACAGAATTCTATCTATTAATTGATGCTCTATCTATCAATTGAATACTGCATCTGTCAATTAAATACTCCATCTACAGTATCAATTATCACCTTCACCTTGAATTTATATAAGCACAATTCTCATTTTTAAAATCAATTAACTTAGGCATGTTTTTTTTTTTTTATAATAATATAAAAATAATTATTAAACTTAATTTTAGTCTAAAAAAAAAAAAAAAATCAAATTAAATTAATTTTCACTAAAAAAAATAACAAAAATAAATAAATAAATTTAAAAAAAATACATATATATATATCTGCTATATCGATATGTACCGGTATGTATATTTGATACAAAATCGATTATTTACATGCATGGACCAGATTTTATCAGATTGATTCCAAATATAGATTTAACCGCTACTACAACATATTTAGAAATTTACTTTTAACTGCCAAGTGATTTTTTTAAACAAATGTGCATGTGACAAATCATAGTAACATAATCATATAGTTAATCAGTAAATTATTTTAATATAAAAGAAAATCCTGATTTTAACATCACTACTCTTTCTCTTTCTCTTTCAAAGGTCAACCTTTAGAAGTTTTTTATTTTTTTCTATTTGAACTTTCTTTTTATTTTGGATTTAGATTTAGCGAATTATGAATTTATAGTTTGCTAAATCTAATATTTCTTCTTTTTTCTTTCTTTTTCTCTTTTTTTTAGTACTAATCTTATTTTCCTTCTTATATTTTTATTTGTTGCTTTCTATACTTTTATTTTGGATTTAAATTTAGCGAATTATGAATTCATAATTCACTAAATCTAATATTTATTTTTTTTTCTTTTTTTTTTTTTTTTTTTTTTTAGTTTTATCTTATTTTCCTTCCTTTATTCATATTTGCTGCTTTCTATACTTTTATTTTGGATTTAAATTTAGCAAGTTACGAGTTCGTAGTTCAATAAATCTAATATTTCTTTCTTTTATTTCTTTTAATTTAATTTAATTTATTTTATTTTTTTTAGTTCTTATTTTTCTTCCCTTTACTTCGTATTAGTTATTGATTTACTATTTGTGTACAACATACTAAAAATATTAGGTATTCATATATTATAATTGTGAAACCTGATTTCAGTGCTATAATAGTTACACTAATAATGGCTAGCAGCTAACACTACTACTACTACATAATTAGTCTTAATGCTCTAAACTATGTATTGTTAAGAAATACTTAAATTAGGACTTGTCAAGTTTCAAACTCTTCAAGTGTCAAACTCTTCATTATTTCTTTATTCAAGGTAAAATATTATGTCTTTATGCATATTTTATTACTACATATCTAATTTTACTAATATGTATACTGTATTTATATTATATTTGATATCTATTATTTTGCTATATAGCATATTTGAGATTTAACCTATTTGAGCAAATTGACCTGAGCTATCTCAATAATGACCTAGACCCATTTTTCACTTTACACTGTAATGTCATAGATACTGAAGCCACAGTATTTTCCAAGTCAATTTTTATATATGCAAGTATATATATATTGATTTAAGCTTGTTATACTTATATTAATCAATTTTTAGCATACAGGTATATATTTAATTAAACTATATTTAATATTAAAAAATATACTTTAAAAAAAAAATCCAATATTACAGCTCAAGTATGTATGTACATATGTATATACATATACTAATATAAATAGATTTTTATTTTTTATTTTCTAATTATCATTATCACTATAGCTTCTTATTTTATTTATTTTTTTTTAATAGCAAAAATACGAATTCGTAGACTGCTAAGCTTAATTATTAATGGTATTTATAATCTACAAATTTTATCATTATGGCTTCTTAATTTCTTTCTTTTCAATTTTAATTTTTTTTTTTATAAATGCATAAATATGAATTCATAGACTGCTAAGCTTAATTATTAATGGTATTTATAATCTACAAATTTTATCGATATGGCTTTTTAATTTCTTTTTTTTTTAATTTTAATTTTAATTTTTTTTTTTAATAGCAAAAATACGAATTCGTAGACTGCTAAGCTTAATTATTAATGGTATTTATAATTTACAAATTTTATTGTTATAGCTTTTTAATTTCTTTCTTTTTAATTTGAATTTTTTTTTTATATATAAATACAAATTTGTAGACTGCTAAACTTAAATATCAATAGTATTTATAATCTACAAATTTTATCATTATGGCTTTTTAATTTCTTTCTTTTTTAATTTAATTTTTTTTTTTTTAAATGCATAAATACAAATTCGTAGAATGCTAAACAATTATTAATAGCATTTATAATCTACATATTTTATCAATAATTACAAGATGATATAGATAACATATAAATTTATAAGTAAATTTGGTAAGTTATTTGATTAAAACTGTTTTTATAATAATTTAAGTTGATTATTATAATTAACCCAATTATATTAATTATCATTATTCAATATAATTTTATCTTACTTTTAAAGAGTTCACCAGGGTGGCTCCAGGTTAATAATTGATATTACTGCTGCAGTATGTATTTTTATTTTTATTATATCGAGATTTTTATTAAACAATATATATATGTATTAAATATATTCTTTATTTTAAAGTATATAGCTTCCTATAATGCAAAACCACATGCTACAGCAATAACATCGATCATCGCCTTTTTATATATGTATATACAATAACAATTTACATATTAATGTTGATTTTTTATGCATATGTATCTTGGTCAATCAGGTGATTTTTATATTATTATAGTCAAATATATTAATTAATTAATTAATTAATATATTAATTAATTAATATATTAATTAATTAATTAATTAATTAATATATTAATTAGACTCTTAAGCTATATAATAATAAATGATTAAATGATTAATATAATATGTATTTAATAAGGTCTGTTTTTATTTTTTCTAAACTTTCAAATCTATATTTATTGAAGGTCTTTTTTAAAAGAAAATTTGTTAATAAATGATAACTTTTACAGAAAATGGACAATGCTGCTTTATTAATCCAATTATTAACAAATTTAAGTGCTTTACAACAAGTGCTTACAACTATTACACAAAATCAAGAAGGTTCATCTACACCTGAATCTACACTGCCAGCATCATCTAATGCTATTATAGGAATTGTTAATATAGCAACAAGTATTTATTTATATACTAAATAATTTATATAATAATACTAATTTTAAATAATTTAGTTCCCACATGGGTCCACTCAAAACCCAATCACCAAAGAGAAATAGAGATGATGGAAAAAAATAATGAAGACAAAAATTGGAAAGATTTTCTTAACTTGCCATATAATACATATTGGTCTTATCAAGTAAATAGTAAATATTTTTATTAATTTTTAATTTTATATTTATATTAGTATTTATTTACTTATTTATTTATTCTTATAAATTTTAATAAATTTGCAGAGAAATCTTCATAATCGATTAAATGCATGCTATCAAAAAGAAAAATATACATCAGAACAAAATTAAGAAATTGTTTAAAAAGTCATTAAGAAAATAATATTATTATATATTTGTTTATTTTTTTATTTTAAAAAATATTCTAGATTTTTTATAATATTTTGATTATTTAGTTTAAAACAGATTTTTCAACCTTTCCTGTTTCTGTGAGAGATTTTGTTTTGCAAAAGCTCTCAGAGAATATTATAGAAAACTGGAGTAAAAATACCAATTTTTTATTTAACTTATTTAATAAGTAATAATATATATTATTATTAAATATTTTTATAGTAAAAACTATTCGTAGGTTAAAATAAAAGAAGCACATGAAAAGGGCAAAAACATAACACTACCAAAAAATAAGAAGGCATCATTTCTAACAAGAAGTTCTCAAACAGTATTATCTCCTAGTAATACAATTAATACAACCAACAATAATAACTTTCAACGATCTTTATTAGATGAAAATTCATCTTTTACTGAATCTGATAAAAGTTCACCATTAATCAATAAGCAAACTGTATTTATTACTTTACCAAATAGAGGATTTCGGTCTGCACTACCCATGAATGAAAGTGATTATTTGACTGGTAATTATTTTATCATTTTAAAAAATAATAAATTTTATCTATTTATATTTTTAATACTATATAATTTTTTTAATATAATCGTAGATAATAATAATAATGATACTCAATGGTCTTTTAATATAATCAAAGATAGCAATAATAATAGCACAATCGAAGGTAGCAATAATAATAATACAATCAAAGATAGCAATAATAATAATACTCAACAATCTTCCAGTGAGAATATAATCGAAGTTGATGATAATACTAATATTCGACAATCTTCTGGTAAGAATATAATCAAAGTTGATGTCAAAGTTGATGATAAAATAATACTTAACAATTTTCGAGTAAAAATTATTAATTTATAGATTGTTTTTTTAAGAAAAAAAATATATATAAAAATATAAATATTATTTTTATTTATTAAGATTCTTAATCAGTATCTAACAATACACTTAATAATCCTATTTCGAAATCTAAAAAAATAATCAGTATATATATATTTATTTAA